AGGTTTTTCCCTCAGATGAGGTTTTCCCTCCCTTTCGGCAAATGCGGTACAGGGGGTTGGGGGGTGGGAAGGGAACAAATCGTAAAAACCCGAAAGGGTATACGAGTGAAAGAAAATATAATTCATTAAATTTTAAATTATTTTTTTTATATAAATTTTTAGACTTTTTTCTTTCTTCTTTTTGAAATTCTATATATTGTGACCTTGTCCGGGAAATTAAAATATAATAACTCCCGGTGAAGTCACGAATAAATATAATAAATGAACAAACGAATGATTTTTTGAGGGGAAATTACTTGGTATGTAGGGGCGGACCTGAAATGAGAAAAGGGGGGGGGATGAATAATTACTCGGGCGGGATAGTAGGAATAAATATTATATATTTCACTAAATGGAACGTTTTAATATGGTAAGTCTCATAACAAAAATCCAAAATTGTGACCTTTTCTTAATAATTAATCAAGGGTGGGGGGTAAGGCCGGCCAGCTTGCGACACACAAATAATTAATATTAGAAAAAGAAGGGGTGATTCCAACTCTGCAAAAAGGGGGAGAAGTGAGAAGTCCTAGTAAAAAAGTACCGCTAATTAGGGGGCTTGGATTATAACAAAAATGAATTCCCGGGAGGCTCACCGTTGGGGGGAGGACCTCACAGGGGTTTTGGTGACACTTGTTGGGGTAGGAAATGTGATTAAGGGTACTCACGTGGTTGGTGGCGTCCTCAATCCTGCGCAAAATTTATCCAAAGCCGATAACTCCTCCATTCGTCACTCCTGGATCTCTCCTAATTCTTCACAGGCCACGGGCACACTTTTTTCCCTCACAACTATTGCTTCTAAACTCCTCCAAATACTCTCCAATTCTTCTCCTCCAAATACTCTCAAATTCTTCTCCTCCAAATACTCTCAAATTATTTCCCTCCAACTACTCTTCTCTGACTCCAACTTCTCTCCAAAATATTCTTCTGAAAATCGCTCTTACACACGGGGCAGCTGTTTCACGAGTAATGGCTTCCCCATCCTCGTGGTCATTCTTCCCCGATTATCGGTGATAATCGGGGTCAAGCGGGGACACTCGTCATCGGGTGTCCTCGTCCTAATTATTAATCATTCCGGTATTTCCTTTTCTTCCGGCGTCACGTGGCCTGTGACGTAGACGTGGTGGTTTTAGTTTCCTCCGTCGGCTAGAGTTGCGGCGAGGAGAACGGCAGGCGGGGGGGGGGGGGGGATTTTCTCCTTGTCTCGTTGATGGTGGTGTTCGCGGCGTGAGTATAGTGATAGGGGTAGGCACGGGGCAAGGGGAAGGACTATTGTTGGGAGTGGGGGCCAACGGTGACAGGTTTCCTAACCTGTTCTCGCGTTGCTTATTACTCTTACTTATTCTAAAAAATTATTATAAATGTTATTATAAATTATCAATGTATAAATTAGGGGCTGGGGAGGGGTCAATAAAAAAGTGCCTCGTCACAATATGTATATAATATGTTGGAAATAACCGTGAATATATATACATATATTCCACTGATAACACCCCATACGTGGACGATTTGGCGCGCATAGCACGCCATATACACTAGTAAATTAAAATATGCGGCGAATTTGTCTGGTCGGGGGAATTCTATTCTCTTTTAATTGGAATTTGAACACGTTATCCAGATAACGCACATTCACGGTGGATACTGTCTCTTCCTGAAAAATGTGGAGTGAAACATGAATTACACATAATTTTGGTGGATTCGTTAATTATCGGCGATAACTATATTTTTCAGTATTAGACAATATGAGCTTGGGGGAGTTCGACAAATAGACAATAGAGAAATATTTTGTATATTGCTCACCTAGGGAGGAAAAGTAGACAAGTCCTTCCCACGTGCAAAACTGCTTGTCTGCTTATCCTCCCGCGGGTTGCATACGATTTTTCTGCCGAAATGCGGCGAAAACGAAATTTCTAACAGAACGAAGTGAACCTACTGTTCAGTAGTTTCGGCTAGAGTGGCGCTGATCTTGCCATGGACTCCGCCAGTGTCAGAGGTTGTGGGGCAAACAAAACCCTTTTCCTATAAAGATAGGACCTGTCGAAGGATTCCTCCACTCGTTGTAATGTTGACTGCACCAATCTGCCTGATGTTTGTCTGTGGTAAGTTTATTATATTCCCCTTTCACTAAATTCGCGACTTCCTACAGGTATTCTTCATATACTTTCACTGCTTTGTCTTTTTCCGCATCATCGGTGTCTTCTCCGCCCCCCTGGTGATGATCTCTCTCATTGTCGGTGGTGTGATGATGGCTTCTTTCTTGAGGAATGGTCTGTTCCTGGACCATGGGGGCATTCTGGCCTTCTCGCCGGCTTTTGTTGATGTCTCGATTTCGCGGTCTGCACTGTTGCCGTCAACTGTTTGTAAGTTTAGGAGTGGTTTTGCTCTCAACGCCTACTATTCTTTGAATTAGTGAAAATCATTATACACTCCCATGAAGCTGCGTAGTTCCCACTTATTTTTAGATTCACTCCGGTGCAATATGGCCCGAACTTTACTTGTATCTGACCTTATACAGCTTTTGGTGACGGTGAACTCCAGGAAGAACACTTCAACCTTCAGCAGATGCCATTTCTCCAGTTGTAGTGTGACTCCATGATTCAGAACGCGGTCAAACAGTTGCTTCAGCAGTACTCCATGTGTCTCAATATTTTGTGTGTGTATGAAATGCGACGTAATTTTCGGAGGTTCACGGAACCCTCCTTCCATTAGCCCGCTCTCTGGCATCAAAACCCCAACAGAAAAAAAAAATCAAAAATCATAATTGTTACGCGTCAGGTCAATTTGAACGGAATGACCGCTGTATCAAAATCCTCCTCCACTTTCAGCTTCAACTGTTCCAGTAGCTCATACGTAGAGATTTAAAATAACTGGAAGCTAAAGGGGATGCACCTGGGATTTTAAAATAAATCAATGAAAAAATAAAAAAGTTGTAACAATGTTTTCCCCGGAGTGTTCCGTAAATCCGCGGAATTGGTTACCTTCGCCGGTTCCGTAGCATCCGCGAATTTACCAGCTATTTTGAGTAAAATAAGGCGTTGTAGGGTTGAGAAGTTAGATCACTAAATCGCTTTCTACGCTTTGGACGCAAGTCAAAGACGTGTCTCTCTGAGACATAATTTGTAGTGTTGGCTCTCTCGACTGACTCTACCCAGTCAGTACGCCACATATTGGTGACCCCGACGTGATTTTTTTACGTCCACCAGTGCAGTTTGGTCTGTTCTCTGTTGAGTTCGCTCTTTTCTTTCGTTGGCTCTCATCATCATGCCTATCACTGATGATACGGGGATAATGGCAGAAGGCCCAGCCACCTCTGCTATTACCATCCATGCCCCTCCGTTTGCCATGGATAAGCCAGCTCTCTGGTTCACTCAGGTGGAAGCGCAATTCCGTATCAAAGGAATTGTCACTGAGCTGGACAAATTCAGCTATACGGTGTCCCTGATCGACACACGTATAGCTGCCGAGGTCGAGGACGTCATAAATTCTCCTCCTGCTACCACGCCTTTCCAAGCGCTAAAGAAAGGTCTTGTTGAGCGATTCACTAAATCGCGACAGGCCAATCTTCTCCAGCTGCTGGACCGCGAGAAGGAAGGTGATCGTTCTCCTTCTTGCCGCCTGTTCCTCGCGGACAAAACCACGCAAGAACGCTACCTGATTGATGGAGGATCCGATCTGACTTTGGTCCCTGCACGCGGTAAAGTGAAGCCGACTGGTTATCAGCTTTACGCAGCAAATGGAACGACCATTGATACCTACGGTCGTGTTCTGATCAATCCTAACCTGGGATTACGTCGAGACATGACCTGGCAGTTCGTCGTGGCAGACGTCTCTCATCCTATCATCGGAGCCGATTTCCTGTACCGCTTCAATCTGTTGACGGACCAACGAAACAGTCGTCTAATAGATGGTACTACCGGACTCTCGTCAAAGGGTGAGCTTGTCAAGTTACCGCCTCCCATGGTGAAGACGGTCGATTCGCTCTCTAATTCCAACTGTCATTCTCTGCTGGGGGAATTCCCGGACATCACGAAGCCAGATGGCCAGCTCAAGGTGTCTGCGCATACCACGCAACACCACATCCGAACAACTGCTGGGCCTCCCGTTTCGTGCCGCACACGCCGTCTAGCCCCTGAGAAACTCGCCATTGGTCAGGCTGAGTTCTCAAAAATGGTCAAACTCGGTGTTGCGCGACGTTCGTGTAGCCCATGGGCCTCTCCTCTTCATCTTGATACTAAGAAGAACGGTGAATGGCGACCATGTGGGGACTACCGCTCTCTCAATGCAAGGACGATCCCTGATAAATATCCTGTTCGCTATCTGGAGGATTTC